ACGAGGACAAAAGTCAGGGGAACTGTTCAGCAGAAGGCAGTCCTGGGATATCTCAGCACCTCGCCCCGGGGAACCGACAGCCCAGGGCGTCGGCCTTGCAAAACCGGGTGAGCGGCCACTGGCAGGCATCTCTGACCCTTGCTGGTGGGAAAGTTCTCGATTCTCACCTCCACTTTCAGGCTTTAAAAAAAAAACCAAGAATGTCCCCACCTGGGGATGGCCAGGTGCATCTTAAATTGCTGATATCAAAGAAGCCCAGGGGCCCAGAACAGCGCGCCGATGCCTGGGGGACCTGCCCAGGGACCTGGGTGGGTGCGGTGGTTGCAGGAGAAACAGCAGCGGCCGCTGCGGCCGGACGACCATGGCCCGCGCGCTGGGGTGGCTGCTGCTGCTGCTGCTGTCCCTGTGTTCCTCCACCCACGGCTTCATCCCCAGGTGGAAACGGTCGGCGCCACCGTCCACTCAGAAGGACGAAAATGCGCAGTGGTTCCCACAAAAGCTCGACCATTTTAGCGAAGGAAGCGGGCAAGTCTGGCAACAGGTAAAAAGCGAAGAGCGCGGGGCAGGTGCTGCCAGGTGAGGGACGGGGTGGGCCTGAGGCCTTGCTGGGGCAGCTGCGGGAGGGCCGGGGAAGGGGCCAGGCTCTGAGCTGGCCATTCTGCATCTTATCACGCTGATTTATTTTTACTTTTAACTAGGAAATCTCTCAGATATACAACATAGTCCAGGAAATAACATCATGGGCTTATGCAATGGTGCCTGCCTAGAGCCAATGTAAACACTTTGTCGGATTCCTTCTCATCTCTTCTGGGGTCTTGATTAGCTTCTCGGCCTTCCCACCTTGAAGAGGTTGCTTTGGGGGCGTGTGGGAGAAGCCTGGCTGCTGTAATTTTAAAAACAGATAAGCAAGGAAGTGAAAGCCAGTACTTGGCTGCTAAGAAGACCAATTGTGATGTGGTTCTTGTATCAATTCTTATATTCTGTTAATGCCTTATTTTCAAAAGCATTGTAATGATTTTTTTTTTTTATTAAAGGAAGCTTTACACATACCACCCCCCTTATACAAGTATTTCTATTTCCCTGTGTTCTCACGCATTTTTGTCCTTTTTATCGTAGTTGCAACCATGTAATTCTGTGTTCTACTTTCCTTCTGCTAAGGGTTGCAAAATATTAATTCACAAACTTCCATTTTGCTACACAGTTAGCATCCATGGTAAATTGTAGTGGCTACCAGCCATTCCACATTCCACTGAGCTAATATGCCCAAATTTCCTTTGGGGGAAATATTAGTTATTTCTCTTGGGTTTTTGTTTTTTTGTTTTTTTGTCTTTTAATTGCACAGTAGGATCCCAAAGATCGTTTGAAAGCATAGAATTGAGCTGATCATGCTCCTAATTTCAGGGCATGTCATCACCAACATTCTATGCTTAGTTCTTCTTTTTAAATGTTATTTTATCTTCTTCTCTTTTCACTTCTGGTCCCTCCTCTCATTCCCCACCTCATGTCTTATGTATTTACTGCATATGCCCTTCCAAGTGACTCTCAGTAAGTTTCTTTGCATGAGTGTCCATGAAAAACATACAGTATTGCTTTCTGCTTTAAAAAAATGTACTGAAATGGTATGGTGCTCTGGATCAATTCATTACTTTCTTTTCCATCAGTGTTATGATTTTGAGATCTGTGCATGTTGCTATACGTGCAGCTGGCTCCTTCCTTCCTGTCTTCTTCATCCTGTGCAACATCCTATTGCATGTGCCATGCACATTTCCCTCACCTGTTCCCATGTGATGGGCATCTTCATTGTCTCTGACTCCGGGAAACCACAATGGTGTATTCATCCCATTAGTACATGGTCCCCTGGGCATCTGTGAGAGAATTTTTCTGGCATATAGACTCATGAGTAGAAAAGCAGGGTACGAGGGCACTGGCGTGCTCAATTTCACAAAATCCTGCCAGATCACTGTCCAAAAAAACACACAAGCTATGATCCTGCTAGAAGTGCAATAAGGATTCTTGTTTTTTCACATCTTCACCAACAAATGAGTTTATCAATATTCCAAATTTTTGACAATCTGATGGGTGAAAATAATATCTCAGGATTACTTTAATTTGCATTCCTCTCACCCTAGTGAGGAGTCAGTTTCCCTCTGTGATTTACATGTTAATATTGTTTGCCCATTTTCCTGTTGGGAGTTCTGTCTTTTTTCCTCTCTGGTTTGCAGGAGTTGCATTGATAGAAAGTGCTATAACTTGCCTGACTCCTTTCTAACCACATCAAAAATGGACTGGAAGCAATTTATGTCTGAATAGACTGAAACATAAGTTTAAATATTGGTCACCCTAACATCACCTGTCAATTTACATGCTGGGAGAGAAGAAGAGAAGATGGCAGGAGGGAGGTGCTGAGGCAGGTGCATTTGTTTGCAAGTGAGATAAACTCAACTCAATTTAAAGAAAAAGGAGGACAGTATTGGCCCACAAAAGTTCAGGGTAGGTCAGACTTCAGGCGTGGTGGGATACAGAAGTTTGGAAAAGGTCATCTCTCTCCATCTCTTGGTTCTGCCTTCTGCATTGCCCTTGCTCCTGGGCAGGCTTCTCTCTGTAGAACTGGAGATGGCCTCTGGGCTCTCCCGGCTAAGGGGTCTTGGGTGCTTGTGATTTCCATGTCAGAGTGAGTGTTTTAGTGTCATGGAGGGGGGAATTTGTGCTCAAACAAGATTACTCACATCTAATCCGCACATAGAAAAGTAAAATTTGACTTTAGTCAAAATCTGACTTTATTAAAAGTCATAACTTTAATAAGTTACAAATTTTAGGTACCTAATTCTTCCTTAAGCTTTAAAAATGAGATTACAAATCTTGTCACCTGTTTTATATATCTAGCAAATTTCAACAATCACTTTTAAGGGGGCTTTTATAACCTAATAAAATTCCCTTAAACATTTAAATTTCACTTATAAGTTTAATATATTCCATTTTCTTGGAAGTACATCAAATGTCTGATTAACACACAAACCTTCCCAAATCTTAGATTTTCTGATAAATCAGATGCACTAAAGCTGTACATATGCAGAATCTTAACTTCTCTTAAATGTTCTCATACTCTCTGTGACCTTAGTCAACTTCTCTTATTCCTTTCATCTTAAAAATTCAAGTCTAAATCAATTACCCAAATGCCCTTTTATATTGGGATGACTAAACTGTTCAGTAAGCAAATTCTCTTAGGCATTAACAGTATTACCATTGTTTATGCTACTGAATGTGCACAGATTGTTTTTATTTCTATTCTTAACAAGGCTGCATACAACCAGAAATCTTGGTTGGGACATGATATCTGGGGCACAATAAGAGGGTATTTTTCTCGCTGCCCAGCAGGAGAAGTAGAGCCTTTTTCAATGGCCATTAAGCCAATAGGAACTTCCAGTCCATGCCTGTCAAATGGGATGTCTTACAGGCCTCTGTAAGGTCATTTAATTCTGCAGTTAGATTTGAGAACGTAGCCCTTACATGCTCAACACTGAATTGGATTCAATGATTAATTCTTTGATTCCATTCTGAATTCTTTTCATATCTTTCCTATCTAGTAGGATCAGAACTCTCACAATTTTGTAAATACTTTCCACTGGATTCTCTATTCAAAGGCTTGGTTAGAGTCTGCAATCAGAAATCCAAAGTCAGACTGATGACTCCAACAGCATAGAAAGGCTTTCCAAGGGTAACTCACAATTCTAGGTGAGAGAACTCACTTGGTTCTATTTGTGTCATGTGCTCCTTTCTGGAATAATCTCTGTATCCTTGGCTATGAAACATTGGGAATAGCCTATCCTGAGAAAAAGCCTTTCTCTTCTTCTTGGTGACATTAGGAAAAAACATATATATTTAACACACACATTTACACTGAACTAAACATAACTATAAAAATATATGTATGGATATCCTATGGATAGTTATCAAGGTGTATCAAATCACAACATGAAAATAATATGTGTCTATTCTTTATTTAAAGGACATATATTGAATTTTATTAAATGCCTTTCAGATATAATAAAGATGATCATATTAATTTTTTGTAATTTATTAAAGTGGTAAATTATATTAGATTTCCTAATAGTGAAACTTCCCTCCCTAATATGAATCTCACTAGTGCATCATGCATTATTGCTTTAAAGTGCTGATAGAATCATCCAGTCAATATTTTATTACATTGAAATTTATAATTAAAATCACTCTGTAATTTCCTTTTTCATGGGCTCTCTTTGTCGTGTTTTGGTATTATATATAACTCCAATTTTTTAAAACAGGAAGGTTTCCTCTTTACTCTCTGAAACAATTTAAATAACATTGGAACAATCTGTTCCTTAAAAATTGATAGAATCATTTCTCTTTCTCATTTCCTCTCTGCATCTTCTTTTTTCTTTCAGTGTTCTCTGTTTCTTCTATGATAATTAATTTAGAAGCCTGATCTTTTCTGCAACCTCTTTTGCTAATTCTTATTTTCTGAAATCATTAATTACATACAGATTCTCAAAGTTATTTACTTAGATTTGAGTAAAGTGTTCTATAATTTTTTTAAATGTCCTTGAGTTAGGTTATTTCTCCATCCTCATTCTTATTATATTTATGTGTACTTTCTACCCTTTTTTTTTTTATTATATTAGATCAAGGTTTCTCAACCTTGGCACTACTGACATTTGGGGCCAAATGATTCTTTGTTGTGGAGAGCTTTCCTGGCTGTCATCGTATGTTTAGCATCATCCCTTACCTCTACCCAGCAGATGCCAGTGGCAACCTCTTCACCCCAGTTGTGACAACCAAAAGTATCTCCAGACATTGCTCAATGTCTCCTGGGGAGGGGAGTGAAGCAAAATCACACATGTTAGAACCAATAGATTAGGTAATGGTTTATTTTGTGAGTGTGTGTGTGTGTGTGTGTGTGTTTAATTTCATTTAGTGTTTAAAGAACAAGTTCTTGGATTTACTTTTAGTTCCATTATTTTTCATTCTCCTGATTTATTTGTTTCTTCTTTTATCTTCATTATTTATTTCAGGCTTTCTTTGGGGCCATTTTGTTTGTGTTTGTCTAGGTACTTGGGTTGGATGTCTCATTGATTTATTACTGTTCTACTGTCCCTTGTGGTGTCACATGGGACTCAAGGGGGCTTCTGCTTGCCCCCGCCCAGCTCATGTGTGCAGGTCTTTTTGTACCACGCTAGAGGCCGTTGACTCGTACCATGGATGTTTCGTCACTTGGGAGAAGACTGTGCCTTTTCCAGCTCTTCCCAAGGTTCCTATTTTACTCAAAAATTGAGTTGCCATTTATGTTAATTTTCTTTGTGCATGGTTTATTTCAGAATGGAGAAGAAAGTAGTAATCTATCATATAGTGCAGAATCCAATATACTTAATGGTGTTGATCCCCCTATAATATTGGGTGATAATCTTCAAATCTTCAATAAGTACGTACAATTTGCAGGAACAGTGATTTATAATGTTACTTGCTTAGATCAAATATCAGGCCATCATCCAAATCTTTTTTTTTTTTTGTGACTAACTAAATCATGCTACCACTCTATTATTAGAAATAATAATTAGATAAGCAAGCAACAAATCCTAACTGCAATGCTTTAATGATTTAAAATGATACTTTCCTTTCCACAGAGGTATTTCATGACAGATGAATTATATAAGCCTGGTGGCCCAGTGTTTCTGATTGTTGGAGGTGAGGGGGCTGCTGATACCGTATGGCTGTCCAGGAATGTTCCTTGGATGAAATATGCCGAGAAACTGGGAGCACTCTGCTTCTTTGTGGAACACAGATTTTACGGACAAAGCCGGCCAACTGCGTATGTTTATGAGTTTTCTGTACTCTTTCTCTAAACAAAATCATACTCTTCATGTTCTTAAACTATAATCTTATGTTCAAAACAGAAACTTGAAATGATATATACTCCGTCAGTCTCAAAATTCTCTCCTACTAAGCTGAGAGGACTTGAAATTAATGAAATTTAAACTCTGAAAATAACCCACCACTCAGAGGCAGTAGTGACCATTTTATTAAAAGCAGTTTGTCATTGTTAAGTGTAATGTCAAGTTTTGACTTACAGCAGCAACACAGAGGCAGGATATGGAGACTCAGTTGTTCATCAAGATTTTATTCTTCCCGTCTGATATCGTTGAGTATGGTGTAGTGGAAAAGTATAATTTTTAAACTTACTTATAATTAATATCATTATGTAAAATCAAACAAACAAAAGGGATTATAAAGTGCTTCTGAAAGTTGTAAAAATATCAAAATTTGGTCTTTAAATCTCATTTTAACAAGAAGCATGCATTGCTTTTTACAATCCCGAGAATGCTATTAATGTCAGCAAAATGACATCTTTATTATATGAGTCATAATTCTTGGTACCATTACAGTGAGAAACTATTAATAATTTTAGGTTAATAGCATAGGTCTTTTTCTAGCTTCAAAAAGAATGTGATTTTGGAATTCTAAGTTACTAACTTCTTTATGATGTGGTAACAGTTCAGTAATTTCACTAGTTCTACTTTTTTCCTTAGAAACTTTGATTTGTGTGTGGGTGTTATTGGAATTTTGATATTCTATAAGATGTTTCAAGAGTAGGCGTTCTGCATTGTTCTGGAACAAACCTGTATTGACCAAATTTACAATATGTGTCGATGAGGTCAGAAACAATAACCAACTCAAACTCTTAATTTAATTAATCTGTAAAATATGAAAGCGATCCAATTGATTATTTTGGGGCGGAGTTGGCCTTTATTTGATGGGGCAAAGCTTATGCGTCCTGAGTATTTACAGCTGTCCTCCCTCCTCATTTACTATAGACAATCCTTTACGTGCCAGGTCCCTTTCTCTCTCATGCTCACCCTGCCCCCTAATCCCCAAAGAGCAGAATTTTATGCTGCCTGGGAAAGATATTAGGTTGATCCACATGCAGAAAAAATTCTAGAGAGAGTGGGAAAAAAAAAGAAATTCTAGAGTTGAGACTAAGAGTTTGGCTTGTGAGATTTTCCTAAATAGAATTAGGAGCGGAAGAAGGAGGTTTTGAGAAGTTTTAGGGTGAGTTATGGCTGTTATGCTTTTTGATATTCTTTGAAGTGCACCTGCTAGGAACACACTTCCCTTTTAAATGCTATCAGTTGTTGAATTGTGCCTCTTTAAACATGAATTTATAGACTGAACCCTAAGCAATGTGACACCCCTCCTCACCAATTTATTCAGAGGATCTATCTATAATGGAAATTGTGTTTGGTGGTTAGAAAAATCACTGCTTATTATTGAAATAATAAGTTGTTACATAATTTTTTTTAAAAAAATCAAACTTTTTAGCATGTACTACTCTGCCCCAGACTGCTAATTTGTCATGCTAGTTGATTGTTGTGTAATATGATAGTGATTCTTACTGTATTAAGCCTTGGATAAAATTTGTGAATCATATAATATGGTTCCTTTTTTGGTGGTAGTACTTTTTTGAGAAATGTAGTACTAATTCTATGAGCCTAGCTGAATTTATTTTTCCCCCTAAGAGAAGAAGGGGAAAATGAATATTTGGGTCCACCTCGCAGTCTCTGGCACAGATTTTCAGTAGTGAAATTACTGGGTCAAATGCTCCCTTACCTTCCACAAAGCCCTTGATGTAGGGGGCCAAAATGTTCTGCAGAAATGATTTCCCACTTTACTCTCTCTCCAGTAGTGCACAAGACTGTCTGCTTCATCCAGTGGTGGCCAACATTTACTATTGTCATCAAAACAAAAGATGTGACAGATTGATAGGAGAAAAAAATACATCATTATTATATTTGCATTTTTATGATTATTAGTGGGACTACCTTTTTTTCATATGTTCACTGGCTATCTGTATTTCTTCTTTGTGAATTGTCTTTTTATGTCTGTAGCCCATTTTTTGAGATATGCATTTAGCCCCACGGAGGACTATGCTGCTTGGAATGAGTAGCAAGGAGACAGGAGGATGTATCCTTTCTTTTGGTGCTGAGGATTGAAAACAACCTTAACACAAACAACAGACTCCCTTAGGCTTATAGAAAACCCCACCGAACAGCAGCTCAGTGGTAAATTGTTATTCCTTAGAAAACCCAATGCTTTTGTCTGGATGTTAGCAGGTGAACCAGAAAGACCAGGAAACACCCTCCACACAATTAACCATGGATTCTCTAAATTCTTGGAAAACAGTGAAGCAATGCTAGCTTATCTCTTTCAAATATGAGCTACCTTGGAATGAGGCTGATAAGTTGATTGCCCTGTTTCCTTTTGCAAGGGGCAGGAGGAAGGAGTGTCTTGGGATGGGAGAACCTCTGGAATTCCTACCCAGGGCTGAGGATGGGAATCCTACTCAAAAGAGATTTGAGAAATGGCAGCTCCTTTTGCTTTCTGCTGCCTGCATTTACGTGTCACTGTTAACTAGACTGTTGTTCATGTCTTTGTGAAAATGTTCGAAGTGTAAGCAGGGAATATCCTCAATATGCTTTCCATGCTTGCATTTTGGCCTCGTAGTCAAGCGTGTGCTAAGTAGCCTGTCAGTCCCCTCTGACCCTCGTCATAAGCAAAGCGTGTTTATGCTTTCACTGCAGAGACCTGAGCACCTCCAGCCTCCGCTACCTCAGCAGCAGGCAAGCCTTGGCCGATCTTGCCAACTTCCGAAACGTCATGGCCAAGAAGATGGGGCTCACCAACAACATGTGGGTCACATTTGGTGGTTCTTATGCAGGAGCCCTTGCAGTGTGGTTGAGAATGAAATACCCCGACCTGTTTGCTGTGGCTGTGGGCAGCAGTGCGCCGCTCCTAGCAAAAGTTGATTTTTATGGTGAGTTTACATTTAATGCAGAAACAGACTTCCGTAAGTAGGTGAATCATGGAATAAGTTGATTGATCACCCGCAGGGTCATCCAACTTGACCTGTGTCTACCTCCACCCCCCACTGTATGATGATAGCTCCACGAGAGGTGCACAGGCCACACACAGTGACAGTAGTTTATTTATAAAGGTAACAGATTGGGTTGGCTTTAAAATGGGTTATCTCAGTTGTGATTTGAAGAGGGAAGGACATCATAATCTAGAATTTCTAAAGAAATGAAAGAAAAGCTCTTATTTTTGATAGGTATGGTTTTCTAATTTCAGAGTTGCCTTTTAATTCTTCTCCTTTCTATAACCTGTCTTAATTAACTATTTTATGGCAAATTACATACAGTTAATATCTTCAGATTTGGGGTTTATATGATTAAACACTCATCATTCACATCAAACTAGGAAAGGCATAAAACTTCTAATCAGATAGGTACTTCTAAAATAAGTAATTTCAGATGCATTTTTAGGTAGAATTTGCTTTAATATTTAAATGTTTCAACGTGAAAAAGTATTAAATAGTATACTATTTCCAGTTTCTATAGCCTCACTATAAACTCATTCTTTTCTAAGTCTATAAAACCCCCAAATTGAATCTTTCTTCTCTTACCTCTTTTAGAAAGCACAACTGAGTCCCAGTTGATTAATCGACAAGCACTTGCAGAATGTGGCTGTACTTCTCTGCTCCCATATTGACTTTTTGTTCCATCCTGACAAAAATCATTTAATTTTTCAATTTCTAGATCTCTATATTATAAAGGAGGTCACAGAGAACTTTAAAAGAATTAAATTGTTCTGGTGCTTAAATTATCAACATCCAATCATATTAAATGACCTTGTTTAAATTTTTTTTCTATATTCTAGAATACCTTGAAGTCATTCAAAATTCTCTGGCTGCACATAATAGTGAATGCCCAGAAATGGTGAGACAGGCTTCTGACATGGTGGTGGAGATGCTGAAAAGCCCAGAAAACTATGATAAACTGAAAAGAGATTTCAGGTGAGTGAAGGTTTCTATGTGACAATAAAGAGGGGATTGCAGGTCCTAAAATCCTGACACGGACTCTGAATTTTTTACCATCACTAACATTCCCTTAAATTAAAACCTACTGATTTGAGGACTTTGGGCTCTCAAAACCATGAAGTGGGTCAAGGAGTCTTGTTTATACCAAACACAAGTATTGTTTACACTCGAGATTTTTTTTCCTCCTCTAGGTGAAAGTCTCATGTTTGGTTGATTGCTCTGAGTGTAGTTGAAATGACAGTAAAAGAGCTTCTTATCAGATAATAGAGTTCTGTTGAAGAGAAGAATGTAGAAGAAAGTAAGATATCATTAAAGGATATATAGGAGTGGTTCTCACTGTTTCCTTGAAGAGTATACTGTTGTATATAAGAGTGCATACTATTGTCTTGGAAGATAGTCCCTCAAAGGCCAGTCACAGTTGAATACTTCAATGGGTCTTAGGATCAAAAAAAACAGGAGGACTTAGAAAACAGTTTTGTCGTAGGCCAAAGGCTACAGAAAGGTCAAGGAGACACTTCTGGAACTGAGGATATGTTTTGGAAAAGGAATTTTGCTAGCTATGAAGGGACCTGACACCTAGAAAGCTCATGTTCAGACTTTGTCACCAGTTGCTCACTCTTTTGTCCCTCTTTGGTTTCCCAAAGATTAATTTTGATAGTGAAACTCACCAGTGTTGTGGAAGACAGGGAGAGAGACCCGGGGAGGTCATGTCCTTAAATTACCCTTTCTAGATGGCAAAGGTCCCCTGATAGTTGCCAAAGGTCAAATCACATGTTCTATATCATGGCAGGAAAGGAGGTTGTCATTTTTGGGGAGGCTCATCAAATCCCCTGGTTGTTGTGGCCACTTGGATTGTACATCAACTTAGAGGTCACCTAGAAACTCACAACATTTAGGCAAAGAAACTGTACAACAGGAAAAAAGGAAAAATTCCAGTGCATTTGATCATTCTCGAAGCACTTCACAGTTGTTCTAAGGAATCGCTCTATCACCTAACACAACCCAATCATTATGGGCAGCCTTTTCTTTTAATCAGATGAAAATAAAGTTTTGCAATCTTTTAAAACACTGTCATGACCAATGAAACCTCTCCAGGTGAAAGCAATTTTTAATTTATGCTAACATTTAAATCATAGCATCTGGTTACTTCTTTTAAAATTCCTTAACAGCTGACTTGACGTATTGCAAACCAGGGTCTTATTGATCCTTTCCTTAGAGGCTCATTCTAATGAGATCCAGAATATAGGTTTTATCCCCATATGCTCTGTTTTGTGCCATGAACTTCTAGTCCCATCAACTGTCAAGGCATTGATGTAAATCCAGCACCTCTAATGGGAAGTCAGCTTAAACACACAGCCAGCCACTGTGAGTCAGTGACCTGGAATAGGTGACGTGGGGACAAAGGCTTTTTATAGAAGTTGCACCACATCTTTCAGGTGTAGGGGCGCTATCTTGAGTCCTGATGGTTGAGCCCTGAGGGTTATAACAAACCCTCTACACCCCCTTGTCTCTTCTGGACTAGCTAGTGGGCTGGCTATGCCCCATGGGATCCTAGAAGCTGGACCTCCCAGGGATCTTAGAAAACAACATATTGTCAGGTTCAAAGCTAAGGAAACTGGAGCCCAGAGATATTTGGCCATCAGGTTTCAAGATGGCTAATTGAGGTTAAATGCAATCTGCAATCGGGAGACAATTTTTCTCTCTCCTTCCTCCCTCCCTCCCTCCCTCCCTCCCTCCCTCCCTCCGGGTCTCACTCTGTTGCCCAGGCTGGAGTACAATGGTGCTCATAGCTCACTGAAGGCTTGAACTCCTGGGCTCAAGCGATCCTCCTGCTTCAGCCTCCCAAAGTGCTGGGATTACAGGCATGCGCCACTGCTCCTGGCCCCAAGTTTGTTCCATGTGAAAGACACAGTATCAAGGCAGCTGCGACTACGAGACATGTACCATGACCAAACCTGCCCATGGCAAATCCACAGTGAATTTAGAAACACATAGTAGGGCATATAGCTTCTATAAAGTACTTCAGATTTCTTGGAATAAATTCTATTCTGGGGAAATCTGGAATCTCCTAGTGTGAAATGCATCTAAACACTGACTCAGATTCCAGCTCAGGGAGGATGGGGCAGCA